GGTTAAACTTTTCTTCGATGTTAAGCTTTTTACGTGATCCTACACCCCTATATCCCCTTATATCGTTAAAGTTTATACGTTTCCTAAAAAATAACGGGAAAAGAAGAAAGTTCCATTTTGTTAGCCCACCTTACGACTCACGAGCTCGATTCCTTGTGTTGGGCTACTGTTTACCTGAATTTACGATCTTCATTCTTCACCGAGAAGCAAAGGTGAAAAACAGTAACCAATATCCAGTTACCACCACTACAGTGAAAATTTCTTTACAATTTTCAAATACCCTAATCGGTTTTTTCATATATATGAATTTGGTTTCGGATCTTGGCCTTTTTCCATTTCTTCTCCGTTGAATTTCGCTTGTAGTAGGTTTAATTATCATAAGAGAAGTGGGATCGGTCTGTAGCTTGTGTGCAATCGATCTTGGATGTTAATCTTGCTGATAACTCCAAGGTTTCTGAAAAATTTAGTCGCGGATCTTTCGGGAAGGTATTGACTGCTCTTTGGGTCGATTTTCACTTTCAGGGATTGAGATAAGTTTGATTGATAAGAAGAAAGGGGATGGGAGGTTCGAAGACGGAAGGGGCAACCTCTTCCTCAACCCCTTTAATTACAAATCGTAGAGACCCGTATGAGGTTTTAAATGTTTCAAGAGATGCTTCTGATCAGGAGATTAAATCTGCTTACAGAAAACTTGCTCTCAAGTAAGTTCATACATCCTCTTTCATTTCCTTACCTTCCTTCTAGTTCTAACTTATGCACTGATCTACTATGTTCGAAGTTCTTAAAATTTGTAATTCAGATTGTACAATCGATTGATAATTATGTGGAATTGAGTTTGAATTTGTATCCGGCTCTTGATAACATTCGATTATGTATGGAAATGTTGTTAATATCGATTCCCTTGTACACAGATATCATCCTGACAAAAACGCTAGTAATCCCGAAGCCTCAGAACTATTCAAGGAGGTTGCCTACTCTTACAGCATTCTATCCGATCCAGAAAAAAGAAGACAATATGATAATGCAGGATTTGAGGTCTTGATTCCATTTCTTCACAATTTCTTCAGCAAAAACTGTTTGTTTACTTATTATGTGAATCGTATAGGCTATTGATGCTGAAGGAATGGACATGGAAATTGATCTATCAAACCTTGGAACTGTGAACACAATGTTTGCAGCTTTATTCAGGTAAAGATTTATCAAAACACAACCCTATGGATTTCGATCAAATTCATTTTTCATTTCCTTTTTCTTTTTCCCCTTTTCAAGTAAGCTTGGAGTCCCTATTAAGACAACTATTTCAGCCAATGTTCTTGAAGAAGCCTTAAATGGAACAGTTACAGTTAGACCTCTTCCAATAGGAACATCAGTTAGTGGAAAGGTGTGCAAGTTTTTGATGTTTACAAATTTTTACTTTTGTAGCATCTTTGTTAGCTTATTTAATCCAAAATTCAGGTAGAAAAACAATGTGCTCATTTTTTTGGTGTTACAATAAGCGAGGAACAAGCTCAATCAGGAATAGTTGTTAGAGTTTCTTCAGCTGCACAAAGCAAATTTAAGGTACTTTAAACTTTTAAACTATTTTTTTTATTCAAATGTTATCATATTATTTTAGCAAAATACTAGAATGTTAATCTTCATGTAAAATCAAACATCCCAGCTACTTACTTTGAGCAAGATAATGGTGGAGGCTATAGTCTTGCATTGCAGGTATACATCACTCTATGTTATCTCAGATTGTTTCAGCTACTTTATGTGTGTGTGTCTTTTTTTTTTTTTTTTTTTTTTTGTGCAATATCCATGATGATGATGATGATGCAGGAAGACAGTGACAAGACAGGGAAGGTGACATCAGCAGGAATGTATTTCTTGCATTTTCAAGTTTACAGAATGGATTCCACTGTTAATGCCGTATGTTATGCATGCATTTTAACATTTTTGGGCAAAATTAATTAATTAATTAAGGAATTAATTAATTAATTAAGGGTTTGAATTTGAGTTGCAGTTAGCAATGGCCAAGGATCCTGAAGCAGCTTTCTTTAAAAGATTGGAAGGTCTTCAACCGTGTGAGGTGTCAGAACTAAAATCCGGAACTCACATATTTGCTGTTTATGGTCAGAAGCTTAATTTTAATTTTTTGTATTTGGTAAATTTGTAAAAAAAAAAAAAGAAATTGAATTTCGTGTGGTTTCAGGAGATAATTTTTTCAAAACAGCATCGTATACAATAGAGGCCATTTGTGCCACAACATATCAAGACACAACTGTTAAACTCAAGGAAATTGAGCAGCAAATTCTAAGAAAAAGAACCGAGTTACGCCATTTTGAAACCGAGTACAGACAGGTATACTAATATTAATATTAATATATAAATACAATAATCTAATATCTTTATAAATAATAAGTGTTTGGTTTTTTCAGGCTTTGCAACGATATCAAGAAGTCACCAACCGATACACCCTGGAAAAGCAAAATGTATATTCTATTTTTTTTAGAATAAATTACAATTTTGGTCCCTGTCTGTACCTGATGTTTTCAATTTTAGTTGCGAAAGAGTAGTTGATTAATTGATGAATATGTTAATGTGAATGATATTTACAGGTGGATGAGCTTTTAAAACAAAGAGACAGTATACAGTCATCATTTACAGTAGGTAGGTCGGTGGTTTTAGGAGGTGGTTTTAGTAGCAATGGAACAGGCGGAAGTAGTAAAGTTGGTGGTGGTGAAGGTGAAAGTAGCAGCAGTCCAGTTGGTGAAGACGATGGGAAGAGTTATAATAATAGCAAGAAGAAATGGTTTAATCTCAACCTCAAAACCTCCTCATCCACTGATAAGAAAACCACCGGTTGATTTTTTTTTTCTTTTTTTTTTAAAAAAAAAAAATTTGTGATTGGTGCTTTTTCATACGTTTATTCATGTCCATAATGGGTTGTTGTTAATCATCGATATTTGTTATCAGATCGAAATTCTTTACTACAGATTTGGATCTTTTAGTTTTCTGCTCATTCTCCTTTGTTTATGTTTATGTCATAAAATGACGCAAACAACAGCAAACAATTAGGGTGTTTGGTGCTGGTATAAGTATTATATGGTTGGATTACCTGTTAAAATGCATTCCAATGGTGTAATAATAAAACATAAAATAGTTTAGTGACCTATTGAATATAATTAGAATTAAAAGATAAATAGCTTGAAAAGCAAATTGGATATTATCGGTCTGTCATTTTATCACATTAAGATAGGGGTAGACATTTGGACTAAATCGGATCAGTTTTTGGACCGGATCAGTTTGGTAGAAATTGGTGGATTTTGGATCAGACCCGTTGAGGCTGGTCCAAATCCAGGTTTTCAGTTCTTGTACCTGTTGACCGGTACAACTTTAGGAGCACATGGTACAACTTATTGAAGTCTATTGAAACTCACTGAAGTCTATTGAAATTTATATTATCTATTGCGATTGTAGGGATGAATATTTGGATTTGATCTGTTTCGTAGAAATTGGTGTGGTGTGAATCTGTTTTGAGGTTGGTTTAGGTTCGGGCTAAATCCAGTTTTTGGTCCGGTCCAGTGCAGAGGTCCAAAACTCCAAATGCTGACCATTAGATTAAGTTTTAATTAATTAATTGTTTTTTTAATGGAGATTGCTATTTATTTTAGGTCATAATACATAAATGCTATATATTTTCAGTTTCGTCAAAAAAGTTACCAAGTTTGTGACGATTTTATATGACAGATGACTTTGACATGTTAAATTATTAGTAACTAGGTATAAAACCCGTGTATTATACGGGTTAATTAAAAAAATATTAAAATGTAAATAATAAGTATTGATTAAAATAAAATTTTGAAATAAAGAATGAAATTTTGAAATAAGAAACATATTAATTGCAATTTAGTATAACATTTATTACATTAATTAGTTTACATATATAAGTATAAGTATCATGTGGCTTTTTAATTTTAAATTTAAAAAAAAAACCATAAATTGACATGTACATATTATTTATTTAGAAAATATCAAAAAATGATAAGTGTCAAAACTCATTAGAAATTGATATTTGACAAAATTATCTTCATTTATTATCGTAGATAGGAAATTGTTAAAATTTAACATTGAATACTTGGGACTAGATTTTAGTAAAATTATTGAACTTTGACAGAAAAATTGTTATAAAGTGGTCGGCCTTATAAAATTTCAATGATTTTTGTTGATAAAGCTGAAGTATAGTTGTAAAGCTGAAATATAATGATCTAAACAGTTTTATGTAATTTGCCCTTTGTTATATAAAATTTTAACTTGATTTTGTCGACCCCAACAACACTTTGTGAGTTTATTTTTACTTCTTGCCAATGCCAACCTCAACTGGATAAAACCCAATTCAGTCCCGAATTAGATATTAATATTCATCTTCTAAGTCCTAAACATAAGTTAAAAGATTAAAATGTAATTTAGAAAACTTTTAAATTAAAAATAAAAGTGAAGTTAACTTAAAAATATCCAAAAGTGGGAAGAGGCGTAGTTGACTCAACCATTTGGTAGTTTTGACTTGATAAAGAAAAGAAACAGGTTTTGTGGATGTGAATCAATAAAATCCCAGAATTTAGTGGTAGCTGACTAATATTTATATTTAAATAACTGTAATTATTGTCAACTTTTCCCAGGTATCGCTCTAAATCATACAATCTGTTTTCACTAAAATATTATTCTAGCAAATCATTTTCCATTTCATCGTAATTTTTATTTTATAATGACATTTTTAACATGAAAGTAGGGGTTGATCACTAAAATTCCAATCATGGGGTGTGTAATCGCAAATTAACTATTCATACATATTCATCACAAAATAATTATTTATTTTATGAAAACAGTTTTTTCAAAGTTATTTTAATTTGCATAACTACATTTCTAACAAAAAATTATTTTGCAATCATTTGCCAAAAACTTAATTACGCAAAACAATTTTTGTAACCATACCGAGAATATTTGTTAGTTTTAGGTTTTACAAAGAGTTTGCAAGATTTCATATTCTCGCAAAATAAGATTAATACCTTAAAAACCATTATTTATACATATCCGTTTCGATTTAACCCTATCATTTTTATTTGTTACTTATTTGCCATTAATTGTGTTGACTAGTTATGAAAAGTCAATGGTAGCCGGTGTCGTCGGTTTAACAGGTTACCCTAACCTTTTACATACCCAAAATCCACTTTTTCCCCAAAACCTCTCCTTCATTCGGTTTAACAAGCGTTCTTCCTCACACATCACGTCTTCTTCTTTTCCATGGCTTCGTCTTCAACAACTTCTATCAGCAAACCGATTTATCGCACTAAGTGTGATTGTGGTGATCAACTGCAATACTCAGTTTCAAGAATTGATAAAAACCCAGGAAGAAAGTTCAAGGCATGCCCTAACTATAAGGTAAATTTGAGGGATTTTGTTTTACCATTTTGTTATCTTTCAAAAGTTAGTAAATGAAGCTTTTGCTGGCAGGGTACCAAAAAAGGGTGTAAATATTTCAAGTGGCTTGACACGGAAGAGATGGAGTTTTATGCTAATGAAAGGGAGCCCTATAACGAAGTTGTTGCTAGTGGTGTTCTGCAGGTGATCAAGTTGTTGAAGTTTGTGTTGGTGATGTTAGTGGTTATTGGAGTAATTTTGTTAATTGATATTGTATTTTAAGAACCAGTTGGTTAGGGCAGTTGTAAGTTAAGGTTGTTGTAGGTTCTTCATTTTGGTTAGGGCAGGTGTTCAATGTAGTTATGGTAATGTTTGATGGAGAAGTGTATTGACAGTAATCCAATCTTACAGTAATCCAATCTTATTTATGTCCCTGTGATTTGGAAATTGCATTATAGTGATTCATTACAATGTAGTTATGGTAATGTACTAAATCTTGTGTAAGCAAGTGAAATATAGTAGAACTTGGTAAAACTTGGTAATAACTGAATGTACTAAAACAAGGAAGTAAAGGACATTAACTGGAATGACAATTAACATATGATTGTAAGCAGGTGATCACTGTAGTTATGGTAATGTTTGATGGAGAAGTGTATTGATAGTAATCCAATCTTATTTATGTCCCTGTGATTTGGTAATTGCATTATAGTGATTTATTACAATGTAGTTATGGTAATGTACTAAATCTTGTGTAAGCAAGTGAAATGTAGTAGAACTTGGTAAAACTTGGTAATAACTGAATGTACTAAAATAAGGAAGTAAAGGACATTAACTGGAATGACAATTAACATATACTTGCATTCATAATAAGGAAGTAAAGGGCATTAACTGGAATGTACTAAACTTGGTAATAACTGAATGTACTAAAGTAAGCAAGTGAAATGACAAGCAAAGTGAAATGACATTAAGTTCAAATACTTGCATTCATAATAACATAAAAGGGGGTATTACAATCTGTACCAAACAACCAATTGCCCAACAATGTTTTAATGGCCATTAACTACCAATGTTCAAAAAGGCCTAATTGAATACTACTAGATGCTAATATACAATTGGATGGTTGTTACCAAAAGCTGATGAAATGTTAACAAAAAGGGCAAGCAAAATACATAGTGCCCATGATACCCCCTCCTAAATAGTCCTACTCCAAATTAACTGGTTTCTTAATACTAGAACCCCTTCCATCCTTATCATAAACTGCTTTCTTCAGCTTGATTTTCACAATTCTCTCAGAAATCTTCCTTTTCCTAGGCCTCCCAACAACTTGTGTATCTTCAATGAAGTCAATATTCCCATCATCTTCACCAACCCAAGCATTAGCATCTAAACCTTGTATAGCAACTTCTTGCACTGGTGGCACAATCTCATTAACATCTACACCCTGTAAGACATGATGTATTTAAATACCCTATGTTAATCACATATTAGTTTTAAGAAATTTAAAGTAAAGGTTGGCATACCATTTCCAAGTTTTCTTCAAGCAAGTTATCTTCAATCTCATTAACATCCTCTTCTAAGTCTGCATTAGCATCTACACCCTGTAAGACATGATCTAGTTAATTACCTTATGTAAATCACATATTAGTTTTAAGAAATTTAAAGTAAAGGTTTCCATACCATTTCCAAGTTTTCTATAGCCTGTTCAATCTCATGAGGTTCATAACCACATTTTTGCAACAATACATCAATTTCATCAGAAATAGCATTCCCATCATTCACAATTTTGGGTGCAGTTTCCTGTACAGTTTCCTGTACAGTTCCATTTTCTTCTTGCACAGTTGCATCGTTTGCAGTTTCAACCCCACCTTGGCCATCCTGGTTTGAGGATCCTTCTCTAGCCTTCTTTATCTTCTTCTTTCTTTTCACTACAAGCTTAACTGCCTTTTGTTTATCTTCTTCTCCACCCCTCCTTGGCCTTCCTGGTTTTCTAGGTGGCACATACTCCTTCATCACTCGCTCATTCTTACAGGATTTCAAGTTATGGCCGAATTGTAAACATTTGCTACACCTAACAGTCCTACAAACTCTAGCTCTAACAGTTGGGAACTTGGAATCATTGACCTCAGACACATGCCTTCTTCTCTTGGTTTTTGGCCTACCAGGCAGTCTCCTTGTCAAAGGAGGTAATGGCTTTATATAGTCAGTGGGTGCCCACAGGTTGCTTCCATTCACTGGTGATATATTTGTGGTATATGCAGCCATAAATTTCTCTTTTTGGAACCAAATGCTTAGAAAATCAGTTGGATTCATGTGAGTGTAGTTTATTGCTGCTTGACCATGCACACATGGTATTCCAGATATCTCCCATAGTCTACATGTGCAATAGTGTTGTTCCAAATCCACTTTGTAAGCTGTATACCCATACCTTGTCTCAAATACAGACCCCCCAGTTGCTATAACTTTCCAGTTCCTATAAATACAAATTAAAAATAACAATTTCATGTTAACTATACAACACAATTTAATGGTAAGTAGTAACAAGTTTATGTAAGAATTTACCTCATCTCTTTTCCAAACTCCTTCATTTTCTCTATGATAGCTGGACACGATTCAGTTCTCCAAGTAGAAGCTTTATCAGCCAAATAATAAAACCTAGACATGACATAGATTCTAATTTCCTCTAACATTGTGAGAAGTGGTTTTTTCCTAATATTTATGATCATGGAGTTAAAGGACTCAGAAACCCCATTTTCCACTGCCTCACATGCATACCCTAGTCCAAAAAATGCCCTACACCATGATTGTGGATTCTTAGACATCAACCAATCATATCCATTTGAAGTGATTTTCTTAATTTTTTCCATGTTAGACACAAAATCCCCTTCATGTGAACTAGTTGCAGCAGCCCAGAATAAGTTTTTCAACTCTAAACCTGTATGCCTCTTCCTGAAGTTGGCATAAATGTGTCGTGCACACTGCCTGTGTTCAACATGTGGAAGGATAGCTTTCACAGATTCTAGAAGTCCCTGAAATAAGCAAATTCAACATTAATATGGGTTAGACAATATAAATGAATACATAAAAAAATTTGTAGTATTTATGTTTACCTTGTGTTGATCTGAAATAACAACTAGACCCCTTCCATCCTCAACACCCAAGTCATCAACCAACAACTGTAAAAACCAAGTCCAATTTTCTTTGTTCTCTACATTTACTACAGCCCATGCAATTGGATACACGTGGTTGTTAGCATCTCTTCCAATAGCAGTCAAAATCTCCCCTTTGATTTGTCCCTTTAGGAAACATCCATCTAAGCCAATCACACGTCTGCACCCTGTATTCCATCCATCTTTCAATGCCTTAAAACATACATAAAAACGTTCAAAATAATTCACCCCATCTGGATTTACAGAAACTCCTACTTTGCATGTACTTCCAGGGTTAGATCTAAGGATTTCGTTGGCATAATCCCATATCTTAGCATAGTGTTCCTCCAGTTTACCTTCTATCATCTCCCTTGCCCTTACCCTTGCTCTATGACATTGCCCCTTTGACACTTTCACTGAATATTTTGTAAGGACATCCTCCATCATCTCAGGTAGTGTCATTTTGGGCTTCCTAATTATGTCCTTAATGTAGTGTTTTGCTAACCAATTACAACTAACCAAATGTTCAAAATTATAATTCCTTGCACAAAGATGTGTTTCAACCATAGATTTTATCTGAAAAGTACGTTCATTATACTTCCACGAAGCATGGATCCTAAAAGGACATGGTTTTTTTGCATTTTTTTTCCCACACCTAACAATTACCCTACTTTTATCACTTTTCATGAACCAAAGTTGGTATCCATTAGCTACATCATAGTTAGTGAGTGCAAACCTTAACTGAGCAGGAGACTCATATAACTCACCAACTGTAGGCTTCATTTGGTTCCACTTGACGGTAGGATCGTGCACCCTGAACTTGACACCCACTTCCAAGCCATTTTCATCTTCAAGGTGTTCATGCTCAAGCTCTTCCTGGTGAATGTCTTCAACATCAGCAACATCAGCTTCATCGTCCCCTTCAAACTGATTATTCTTTAACATTTTATCATCACATAAAATGTTAAGAAAAGGGTCGTCACACAAGTTAGATGTAGGATTGAAGTTATCTGGTTCAACATCCAACAATCATAAGTCAAGACGATCATCATCAGACTCTTCTTCATCACGTACATATCTCAACTTTGTCTTCTTTGTCGCCTTTGATTCTTTACTTTTCATTCTCCGTGATGATTCTGCCATCGAACCCTTGAAAACCTTCAGAAACCCTCTTTCAAAACCCTCTTGCAAAACCCTCTTTTGACGATGATGTTATCGGGATACCCCTTTGTTAGTCAGACATGAGGGACAAAGGTGGTGGCTACTATGCACGTTCCCAAGAATTAGTAATCAAGTGAAGAGATGCAACCGGCAAGGAGGTGATTACCGGTTGTTAACCGGGTAAGGTGTAATAAATGGAACGTCATTTCATTAACGGTGGCAAATAAGTAACAAATAAAAATGATAGGGTTAAATCGAAACGGATATGTATAAATAATGGTTTTTAAGGTATTAACCCCGCAAAATATCCAAATTTTCGTTATATAAGAAGATGTTTTATTTTACAAATAAATCATGAAACCTCTATTTCCACGACATCATGTACTCCAAAGTTTTTCCTTCTTCAAACAAACTCTTTCATAAGGGTAAATGACCATCAAAGAAGGCCTGACTCACGAACTGGGTCTAGAGATATTTGGTAAAAGATTATCATCAATGATACATGATGTAATACCTATAATATTTGTTAGTTTTAGGTTTTACGAATAGTTTGCGAGATTTCATATTCTCGCAAAATATCCAACTTTTCATGATACAGAGAAATCATAATAACTATAATACCGACTGTAAAAATAGTTTTAAATAACATATAAACGTTAGTTATATAGAAATTAGAATTTAGTAGAATAACCAGTGACAAGTTTAGAATAGAAAATAATGTTGTACACCAACCAGATAAAATTGAGTCGGTTCAAGAACAGACCAGGTTCATCACGACTGGTTCAACCATAAAAATAATCAGTTTATCATGTATAAAAATTGTTGTTGAAATGATTGAGAACACATTAGCCATTCTTTATTTTTTTTAGGTTCAAATTCTTTTAAGTAAATAAGAAAGTTTTACAAAGACGTAACTGGTAAAAAAGCAACAAGCTGTGCCGCAACCTCTTTTTGGATGATAAAACTAATTCTTTTAAAAACAACATATATAGATCTTAGAGTCATAACATTACTATGCATGAGCCGTTGGACTCTATTGAGTAGCTCCACAGCTTCTGACGCAAGGGAACCGAAAGTATCAAATACAAAGGGTATAAACGTGTATTGATTTTCCATGCACACTTTCTCATATTTTTCCACTTTGCTTGATGCAGTTTTTAAAGCAGCTTGCCCCACAGTGAATACCCCATTCCCCAAGCCCACAAGAGAAGAAACCCCTGTTAGATCCACGCATGCATGTTTTCCTCCATCCCATCCAAATACTAAAATATCAGTTGGTCTAAGTGTTGATCTTCCTTCCAATGGGTTAGTCACAAAATTCACAGGTGTCTCTTTCTTGGCAGAAACTTCAGCGCGCCTAAATATGTCGAAAAAAACGTCCTTAACCAGATCGTGTCAGTACTTGAAACCCGGGAGCTCTTTACAATGAATTTCATGCTCCTCAAAGGAGTCCAAGCATGCTTTGCGACAAACAAGGAAAGTCTCGTCATCCGGAAATAAAGGGATCATAAGGCGATACTTGAGGATGGCACAAGACTCCATTGGCGACATATGCTTACCAAGACCGTTAACAGGAATAGTCATAATAAAATCCTGAACATGTGGGGCCCTTAGACACTCAAAAATTGCTTTCTGCCTAATCGTCATGTTGAAGTGAACTTTCATGTCTTTGACAATTTTACTAAAAAGGGGACTCGCCAATGTATGTTGGACTTTTGGAGGGGCGGTGTCTTTATTAGTGAAACCGCTGAAATCAAAGCCCGAAATCGTATCACGAAGACAAGCCAAAGCACAAACATAATCTAAATCCATACCACATATGCCGCTATTTCGCAAGATATGGTCTTGTAACACCCACGATTGAGCTCGTGAGGCCACAAAAGCATATGAGGAAGCCTCTAATGCTGAGTACAACCCCAAACCACCGAGCCTAATTGGTAACGAAGCCAGTCGCCATTAACGGTCCCCAAATAACGAACCCCCGCGAACCACAATGTCCTCAATCGACCCACATAACCCTTTATCAAAACACAAAGCAACCTCTTCCATGTGAATGGGTTGACACATTCTTAGGCCAAAGAAAAGTTTGGCGATACCCATGCAAGATCGAAGCAAAAGGAGTTCACTTTGGGGGTCATGTAACTGTGGTAGAAAGCGCATCGAATCAACAGCCTTGGTAGCCCTCTTCATGGCTAACCCACTAATAAAACCCGCATCTTGACTAGCAGCCCACTTCATGGCACATTCTTTAATTATTATTGTTTTTTTTTTTATTAAAACCAACTTATATGTGGAGTAAGCCAGTCTAAACCAAGCCTCAACAAGCTTCATGTTGTGTAATTGTGAAAGATAAAACATTTATTTGTAAAGGAAAACTATCAATGACTTTCTTTGTGAAGTTTGATGTGGGATTTTGTAATGCCACCAAATATGATGTGTCTTCTATTTTCGATAGTTATGCTTTTTTCATTCATTTTTTGTCCAATATAATACGATAGGTCATTCAAAATATTTAAGGTAGGCCATAAATTCTATTTGTATATAACCTCTTATAAAAAAATGAATTTAGGTGGGTCATGTGACCCACCTTGTTACACTCTAAACTCGCCCCGCGAGTCTAACTACCATCTATAGATATCAAAGTTTTCATTAAACTGATCGATATAATTTTAAATCGTATAAGGAAATATTAAAAAGTAACCAAGATGGAGATAAATGTCTAATGCTACTTCAACCCAAAATCACCTATATCTCCCTTTTTTGTATTTTCCTTATCAAACACTTATTCTTCACCTAGCATAAGTCAAAACAAATAGAAAACATTAGACATGAAAATGCCTAGGAGATGCAGATTGATCATTATGATAAAATAAATGCCCATCATCTTCATTGTCTTCCTTAACAACCAACTATTTCCAGTCAGTATGCATCAACAAATTCTAATCATTCGATGAGAAAAATTTACCATGTGGTTGAGTAAAATCACAATGGTTCTTGAAACTTTGGATTACAACATGCTATAAATCATCTCTCAAGGTCCACACATCCCAATGAGTCAAATCATAGAAGAAGGTGTCCCAACAAGAACAATTAGAGCTTTAATAAATTAATGGACAAAAGACCACAAACAGAAAGTAAATCTTGATGTACAAGCAAGGGGTGCCATCTTAATGCCTTTCCATATGATTTCTATCATATGGTTGAAAACTGTACTTCAACCAAAGATATGCTTGATATGCTGAAGATAGCTTATAATGGGACAAATGAGGTTAGGGCAAACTAGGAAAACAACCTTAACCGAATGTATGCATATGTCTTTTCTTACAAGAATGAATCAATAACACATAACTTTAACAAATTTAATTTTTTTGAGTAAGTTTAAAATTAATAAGTCTAATTCCGTGTTAGTCTTAAAGTTACTCAACTCAATTGATGAAAGTTGGGAACATCATGTTGATGTTCTCAAGAATATGAGAATATAAAAGTTATAGATTTGTGGAGTATATATTGAAATCTAACAAAATTATGAACAAACTAAGGCTCAAAGAAGAGAAAACATCATAAACATGAAGGATTATTACAAGGAGAAATATGTTGCGCTTCTTTTAAGAAACAAGAAATTTGTTGATGCACCTTCTAGTGAAGAAGATATCCAAGTTGACACTGATGATGAAGATGAAGAATAATTCTCTTAACTCTCTAAATTAGCTTCTTAATTTTTCCTCACTGTGAATCAATTCAACAACTTTAAGAATTTTGGAAAATTCATGTTAGGACAAAAGAAGTTTAATGTTAGTCTAAGGAAAACTGAAGCTGAAGTAACCTTTTGCACTGATAGACTTTGTTTCTACCGATAAATGGTTTAAGTGTAGTGAGATTGGGAATTTTGCTAAAGATTGTAAGGGTAAGAAGACTTACAAAAAAGAATCCTATGAGGCAAAGTACAAAAGATTAGTCGCCTCGTTGAAAAGGTAAAATATAGGGTAAAAGGTCTTGTTGATTGAAAAAGAAAGATGGGAAGCTAAAGAGGTGTCATCTGATGATGGAAAGGTGGAAATAAAAGGCAAACATTTGATGGCTAAGGCAAAATATTCAAGTTGTAGTAGCATGTCAAGCACTTTTGAAGTTGATATTGCTTAATTTGTAACGTATAACTCTATACTAAATTAGAGATCCTTCTACCATGTATCAAGTTTCTAAATACATTAATTACTTTGACAATGGGAAAACACTAATGTTTGATTATCTGTGTCTTGATCTTATGATATATCATTAATAGAAACTATAACTCAAACAAAACATGATGATATGTCCTCAGAGCTTAACACAAAATCAATTGACCTATTAAACAAGAAAACTGATTTAGCAAATTAAAATGTGCTAAATAATATTCTTATTGATGAATGAAATAATGTTGTTAATGTCACTAATAACATCAAAAGAATCATAAAAAACTAGATGACATCTTTTTTGGAAAAAAACTAGACCACATTTCACACTAGATTTGTTAAAATAATACATGATCAAATTTCTTTTCAAGCAATAAAATTATTAGTGGTCAATTTAAAGAAGCAGTTGAAAATTTTGAATCTATAATAGATGAACCAAGTTTTCCTGACTCATAAGAACTAGCTAATGGCTTTAAATCCAAATTTATCAAATCTGTCGAGTCTAAGGATCAAAACTTGATCAATAAGCATTTTGTAACAAATGATACTGGTAAGACAAGTCTTTTGAGTTCTATCATTGGAAGGGATTCATCTGTGAAAATTCCTTTTCAAGAGTGTACCATACGAGGCGTTAAAAATCAAATCATAATTTCTAATTTCCAATGGTGAAGTTAAAAGATCTTTATGCCCAAGAGTCATTATAAAATGATATTTTCCAATGACATGTGATCATATAGGGTCACACCTTATAACAAGTTACTACTAATTGATTATTTATTAGAGTAATTTTAATTATTAATAAATATCAACATT